ATATATAAGTTTAACGTCCGTCATTAGTGAACCATGCTTTATGCTTTTGCATCACGTACCACGAGAGTCGTCTTTAAAAAGCGGCCTGGCCGGTTCAGTGTCGACAATTACCTTTCCAGATGAAAACGCGTCTGTTACGCTCAAGTAAGCGTACTTTTCCGGTCGGAGTATCAATATACCATAACAGGCAGGTCAATGACTCGCCAAGTGTTTGAGAAATTATCTATGCCTCCTCCGCACAAACGACACATTATCTTTCCCAAGGAGAACGGCGGGCGCGCTATATTCTACCTTTAATACCATCGGCTCCATCATACCAATTGTGCAAAATGCAATAATCATAATACCAGTCATAAGAGTGCGGTAACAGTTTTCAGTCTGCCCGTTACCGCGGGAATTACCAGTCGCTGCGCGCGGAGAAAGAAAGGTGAATGCGAGAAGTCCCGGCTTTATGTCCCGGCAAGCCAGACGTTCCGCCTCGAGAACATCATGGCTTCGTTAATTTAATCCTTCATTGAACTCGTGAGAAGAAAACTGGGTAATCTTTAGAATTGTAAAAGATCCTTTCTTAAAACTACAAGTCATCTTTCTTCTTTTCGGATTCTTCAAATAAGTTGAAAGGTTTTTTTCCTTGAAAGATATCGAAATGTCTTTCAAGTTGTACGTTATGGTTGATAATTCTAATATAATAAGTCTCAGACGTCAAGCGGCAAGATTTTACTCTTCATGATGATCAAAACTTGTGAAAAAGTGTGATTCAAATTATGCAACTGAAGAACTCGAAAATAAAAGAGATGGCAACATTATCAAAGTAGTACAAGCGTATGCTTGTCATTAGAAAAACTGCATGCAACTCTGATGCCAAGCGCACAGGCACGTTTTTCACGCGTCGCAGAGCAAATCATGGCTTCGGGGATGGCCGACCAATGGAAAAAATGACGGTCACGAGTACGTGGATCGAGTGAGTGCAGTGCAGTGCACTGCGTGCATTATCGGATAAACGTGTAAGTTTTCATTTCAAGAAAAACACGCATCACATCTCACCTGTTAGTAATTATACAAATTAATATTCTTTGCAATGCTAATGATCAACGATTATATATCTAAATGTTGCGCTGCAACATTAACGCTGCAGTATGCAACGCGTTATGTAACCAGATCATGCCGTATCCCAGAAGAGAGCTTTATGTGAATGTATTATTGCTGGAGTTACTTCGATTCTTTCTACCGGCGTATAAATCAGTTATATCGCGAAGGACACGGTTAGGATTTTTCTAAAATCATTAACTACGCATCATCTAACTGTCAAGAAAATATTGTCAATAATCAACAACATAAAATAATATATATAAGAACCAGAAACGCGAATGTTAGATCACAAAAAATATTATAAATTAATTATTAGAAAAAATATAATATTACGCATAAGTTAAACTAGTGTGCTGCAAATTGCATCATGTAATATCAAATAATATTTATCATAAGATCTCGAAGTTTAAAATCTCATCTAAAACCATGAAATAACATTGTGTAATTAAAATAAATATTAACATTGTACCAATTTACAGATATACATTTAAATTTCCATAATTTACAATTCCACACAATTTACACAAATGCAAATATTTGTTTGTTTATTACACTGTGAGTATTGCAATGATAGTTGTGTACGCGATGCGTTATCGCACGCGATCTTGTGACTAAGCCGACCGCATATACACATGCAACTCGGGGTCACGGTAGATGCACGTGGATCATCTTTGTGACTTCACCGATGCGTCTCCACGTTGCACAACCATACGTCGGCGTGTGCGCCAAGCAACGCGTTATTACGATGCCACTACGGTGAATACGTGTCCCTTTCATATACGGTTCCTTTCAATATCAACTCCGTAATATTTTGTTATATATAAAGATTGCATTCGTATTCGATTTATAAATATTACAATTTTTAAGTCTAAGAACAGTAAAAAATATTTTAACATTCAAAAAACATATTTAATATTCCATTAATATTATATTCAAAATAATTATATAATACTTTCTACCTTATCTTGTCGAATATAATCCGAAAAATTAATATTTAGAAAGCTATAATAACCTTTCTGAAATAAATCCATCTTCGATTTATAATATCAAATAAAGATATAAAATAAATTTCTCTTTTGTGTCTTTCAATAAGTTTCTCTTTTTAAACGACGAAAAGGTATTTCATTAAAAAGATTAAGCAACATTGAAATAAATGCAATTCATCCGCCGCTAACGATCGTTTGCATCCTTGTAGTTGATACGCGTATCGAATCTTCTAAAATGATGCAAAACGTACTGCGTAATCGCAGGAGTGATTAAAACACGTTTATTTGTCGTGACTGCGATACGAATAAATGTTCGCAGCCAGAATGAATCGATACGAGATAGAGTCGGATTGTTTTTGCGCGAAAATTACATCAAGGAAAGGAAAGTGACACGCTCGACGGCGTGCGACGGCGGCGAAATTTTCACCTCGCAAAGAACCTGTCGCGGTGGCGGTAGCCGGGGATGATAAAGATTAGAGACGACACGCGCTAGCGAGTGTGACGACAAAGCGATATCTGTAGAAGTTGCTAGTCGGCGAGAAGGTTAGATAAGAGAACGCGTTAGGGAAATCGCGCCGGTTGCATGTGAATTCGAATGTGCTTGTTTGATTAAGCGAATACATCAACGAGATAACCCCTGATTACTTAGTATCGTTTCCTATAAATGATAGTTAAATTTGAGAGGGGTTCGAGTAATTTATATGTTTTTCTTAGCTTATAAAATATAAAATATTAAGTACGTCTAAGTAAGATATTATATAACGTGCCAATACTTCTTGCATAATGCAATATTAGGTATCCACGAGAGATTATATTTCAAAGGAATAAAATAGTGTAGGATGGATCAAGTTAAAAGATTAGGCTCAGCTTACGCGAAACGTCTTATTGCTTGATGTATTATGTCGACATGGACATTGCAAAATAACAACTGTACTGCGTGATAAAATTGCAAAATTAATAAAAATATAATAATGCCATTCAATGTGAAGGAACATTTCTTTTTATTGTCAATTTTGCAACACAATGCAAGTGTAATAATATATTTTAATATATTCGGTTGTCGAATCATCAAGATTTAAAAGAAGTAATTTAAAAAATTTTTTAAATTACATATATATACATATATATTACATTTATATTTGTATTCTTGTCAGACAAACAACTTAATTTTATTGTAACGTAACAAAAAAAGATATTATCCTTGAAAAAGACAAGTAAAAAAGAAAAGGAGAGAATAGCGCGTTATCGCAAGCAGAACGACAACGTGAATGTACGAAGTATTCGATGTCATAACGGCGACGACTGGTTTTTGAAAATAAAATCAGGCGAGCCTTTGCTTAAGCGGTAAAAAAAAATTAAAGCACGTACTCTACTGCGACAACTGTTTTGCGTAAAACGTTTTCTGCTTCAGGATTTCTGGCTTTATGCCGCATCAAGTTTCCCTCCTCGAATTCTCTACTTTCTTCCTTCGTGATATGCATTATAATATGCTGTATATTAAGTTCAATTGTGCATAATTGGAACATAAATTGTGCAACGAGTTTAAGAATTATCAGTACTACATATCGGTATTACGTATTGTAAAATAGAAGATAATAGCTACGATAATTATATTTAGAATAACAATTGCCCGTTTTTTTATGTAACAAATATTATTTTTCTGTTTACTGCACAATTTTACGTAAAATACCAACAAATAAATAAAAAAAAAAATGATATTAGTAAATAATTTGATATTTTCTTTTAACTTGCGCAATTTTTTGACGTATGTATTGTAAGTAACTGATAGGTTTCTAATAACCCTGGCATTTTGTATAATTGTAAAATCGAGAATCAGAAGAAGATCTTCCTTCATCGAACACTTCACAATCTAATTTTTTCTGCAATAAAAATAAACATTCTCAGAAATTCTCAGAACATTCATAGGTATAAAAAAGAAAAGACTACAAACTTTATCGTAAATTTTGTCCAAGCATGTTTCTCGCAACGTAAGTAAGAATGTAGAAATTCAAACTGCAAGTTAAGCAATGAGTTTTTCAATCGTCTCTATATCGGCTTGTATTAAATAAAATTATCCACACTAACATCTATCAACATTGCTGAGGAGGAATGCGATACGTGAAATAAAATAGAAAGGATAAAGGCGAAAAGAAAAAGTGAAGGTGTAAAAAAATCCGTGATCCACTAGATAGGCAACCACGTCACGTTCATTCATCCCCGTGTTATGCAAGCGACTTATACCCAGTAATTAACCCATCTAAATGCACTTTCCCTATTTTGACACGCCAGTATCGCTTGTACGCCGCGATTCCTTCTCCGTTGTTGCAAACATCCGCAAAACGATCAATGTACTTTTTTTTTTATAAAAACCGCAAGAACTAATACGCCATGATATTGACTTTCTCTCCAAATACTGGCCAATGTTCTAGATGCTTTGTGTATCCCACAAATCATATGCCATATCATCGTTATGTAAAAGCGTTCTTGCGCTGTACAAAGTGGCTTGAAAATTATTCATAGCAATGCTTTCCTGGATTCGAGGAAATGCAAAGAAAGACACGCAGACTTTGTTTTGTCCCAACTAGCAATTACATTACATGGCAAAATGTAATATTAGAAAAGCTTTCCTTGCACCTGTCATTTTGTCTGACAAATTATAATATGCATCGTGCAGCGGAACACGTGGGTATACGAATATGAATACAGGATGATTCGTTGAAAAACGAATTCATACTTTACTTTTGCAATTGCAATCTAGACAGCTACGTCACTTTCATTCATCCTTGTGTTATGCAAGCGGCTTCTACCCAGCAATTAATCCATCCAAATGCACTTTCTCTATTTTGGGCACGCAAGCACCGCTGTACAACGTCGTAGAACGAGCGCGCGAGGATTTTTTTGTGAAGAGTAAAGATTTCGACGTACCTTGCCGGTAGTGGACGAGCCGGACGTCGGACTCAGACCCTGCTGCAGATGATACATCTTGGGAGTGAGCATAGCTGGAGGTGCGCCGAGGCTACCCGGGGCGACAGCCACGCTCGTCATGGTCATTTCCCGCGACGGTCACAGACCTCAGGTGTCTTCGCAGCACCAATAGTCCGCGCTCTCCTGTTTTGCGTGTAATCATGCATTCTCAGATTGTGGCAAATCTGTAATTAATAAGAAAATTGCCTTAGAAAAGTTGATTATATGATTTCTAACTACATATATGATTCTATGGTTTTATCGTGTCTCTTTAACACGAAATGTATATATTTAATTATAATATTGTAATATTATTCAATTATAACTTTGTATTTGCGTCAATTTTATATCCTTTATATAATATTAAATTAAATTAATTATATATTTTACATTTTTATGCAGTTTTGTATTATTTTACATTAGATTAATGTTATTTCCTTTATATATATGCAATTTTTTGTTGATATCTAAATTATTCCGAAATAATAAGTTTTCATTTTTCCTGCTTTATATTCAACCTGTACTTAAATTTCATAGAGAAGACTGAAACTATATTTAGCTGGTGCTAATTGTGTTAATATCTCTGCGGCGAAATCTACGGCGGAGTGATGAGTTCGGGTTCGACGGTGGCTAAACGGCATTTCCTTGCATAATCATCGCGATAAGTTGCGGCACCTGACAATAGTACCGTGCAATTTCACTTCTCTCACTGAGAGATCGCGATTGTGCAATTTTCGTCGCGCCAGATATTTGGCCGGACCTAGAAAGCGTCTAAGAAATTTGTAATTCACTGGAGGTGGAAGTTTCGATGTTACGTGCAGCGCTTACAGACAAATGTATTTCACAGATTTTATGTCTGACTAAACGATCATATAATATGTCACAAGCATTTATCTCCGACTGTCAATAAGTTTTTTGCTATATCGCGTTGTTGTAATATATACGTATGACGTGACATTTCGCTCGTGAGTTCGTCCTTCCTTGCATTATAATGACAATGATTGTAGATACAATTGCTACTTGTCATTGCGTCTTGTTTCTAAAAATCAATTTCTACTTTCCAATTTATTTCAATTGTAATTTTATTTTAATTTTATTCGTCGATACATCAAGCCGAAATTTAGCATTTATTATTTATTACATATATACAAAAACACATTATATAAGCATATATTTTTCTTAAGTCATCCAAGATTCATTCGAAAGATAAACACATTATATAAGCATATACTTAAGTCATCCAAGATTCATTCGAAAGATAAACGTACAAACAAACAGATTCATTAATCAAATACCACGAAAACTTATAAATAATTATTAGCTAGGTAAAAATCATAAATAAATATTAGCTAATTTTATCCGTTTTCTTCGATATGGCAGTTCGTTGCGTTGGCTTAAAAATACTTATCACCTATGCTTTAAAATGTTTCAAAAGTAGGAAGATATGAAAGAGACGGGTCGCCTGAATCTCACGGAATGTACAGCATTGTCATCATACAAATTTTGAATGAAAGAAAATTGTAAATAGATGCGCAACAACCGTTTGAATGCCTTTCCACGATCTGCGGCTAACAGTCGATGCAAACAAGTTCCACAAATTAATTCCACGAGCGAGGGAACTCGGTGTACGAACGACTCGGTAGTATTTAATTAACAGAGCGAGAGAGTATTTAATAAATGGAGCAGATAACTGTTCGAACAAAAGCAAGCATCTGAATTGTCATAGACCGTATCGCGATGCGCGTTGCATTCAACGGCATAAATATGAGCATGTTATTTCCACAAAAAAATTCCGAAAGTATAAAATATCTATATTTACTTTTTACATATTTAAATTTTCATTTTTAAATGAATAAAAATACGATACAGATATTATGTCAGATTTTATGTAAATCCGAAAGCAAAAATTAGTAATTAATAAATAATACAAATAGTTTGCAAATTTTTAATTTCTACATAGCTCTGATGTGTATAATCCACTGTAATTTTTTTATTGTTCGATTGCGCGGTCTTGCTCGAGCTACATTTGTGGCATGTGGAACTCAAATAAAGACGTCTGCAGCCACCGACTGTGTCGACGCGTTACGACCGTAGAATGCATTCCGGAGATTCTTCTTCATCGATGCACTACTGACGACCGCTCGTGATATATGAGTAAACACACATCAGGTAAGAACTAAGATGAGCGTAAAAACCGTCTGCTGTAACTATTTTCGCGCGAGATTACGTGAAGAAGCTGCGAGAAATCCATTAAATACTTGTCAAAAGAATGGCGACTTGATAAGTCGCGCGACATAATGATTGGCATTAATCTGTTGATGAATGTTCAACTATAATATATGTTTTATGTGACAATCGTTAAAACATAAATACAGAACTTGAGAGATTTATTAATCCTTCAGTGGTGGAACGACGAAGCTGATTATTACCGAATTAATTTAATTTCGCTTAGTTATATACTTGCAATTACGTTTATTATACCCTTATGTTTTCATCAATCATTTATTTTCTGATATTTCTAAGTTATTTCTAACTTAATTTTAATTTCTACTTTCTTAGTTTCTAATTTCTGAATATTTGAATAATATATAAAATATTTTTGCAGTAATACACACGTCGTGGCCGTTCATGTTATTCAAGTTGTATGAATGCGAATCACATTTCATGAATTGCAAAGCTAGAAACGAACAAAGAGAAACAGCATCGACTTTATAACAGGAGTGTGTGTGTGTGTGTCGCGCGTTCCGAAAGACAATGATCGGCCATTCGCTTTCGTAATGACACGGTACGTCTACGATCTAACGTCAGAGCAATAGCCGAAGGAAACCGACGTTGCAAAATAAACTAAATAATATCGGACTATTATCAAGATCTCAAAATAGCCGACTACATTTTCTGTCTGTCGCATTTTTTTCATCTACAAAAAGTTGACTGAAGAGGAAAGTGATTTGTATAATAGTGAAGCTAAGAGTATTGGCCTTTCTATTAATTTTGATTTTTATTATCAAAAATTTTACAATTATGTAATATGAAAAAATTTCGATGCTTTAATTTTTTACTTAATTCTCTTTAGCAATTTTTATTTTAAGTTGACATTTAAGTATCAGGATATTTAAACGAAAATTAGAAAGTTGTAGGAAGTAACGGATTGCCATTAAACTTTCGCTAAGAACAAATTGACTCCAAATTGGACGAAAGAATTGTCAACAGGAATATAAAAATAACAGTGGAACACTTTGTACATATATTTGGAGGGATAATGACAGATGTTGCTGTCATGCATGGCAAGCACCTAGCGACAGGATGGCAATGATGATGATGCAATCCACCGTAAAACCAAAAGACTACACATTTCCTCGTCCGTATAACTTATGAACCGAAGCACGTGTACTCGCACGGTGTGCACAGCTCGTTGTACATCGCCGATAAATCGCCGCGGTGAAAAGTAATAGCCGAGGAAATCGCGCATAACGGACAATTATGTCGTTACCGTACGGTAATCAACAGAGCGAATTTATTCGAAACGCCGAACAAATTGATGCCATACAAAATCTACGACAAGATTACGTAACGAGGCCTTTTGCCTCCAGAGCCTTAAGCAATAATCGAATTTTAGATTTGAGGTTTTAATCTTAAACGAATCTCGAGACAATAAACTGAAGTAAAATGGTCGATTCTCGAAATGTGGAAAGCGATACAAGTAAATCACGCAAAAATGAATTGATGTGTATTTATCGTGACTTTAATAAAAGGTTATCACATAATTTATCTCGACTATGAGAGATATAAAATTAGATGTCCTAGAACTCAAAATTGCACCGTTATTTATATAACGATGGAGATTATCTTTCGCTGCGAATGCAAAAATTCATACGGTCACGGATTCTTGTAAATGACTGACTGTGAATGATGCTTTGGTCATCCGTGTCATATAAGTATTTTCCAACAAGGTTATGTGCACATTAATTACGTCCTTCAACGGATTAATTAGTAGCTATAGTAAGATAAAAATACCTTGTCTTTCGTCTAATCAGCTAATATTGACTTACGTGTAATACTGTATAGTACATAACATAACACAAAAACTAATAAAATTTTAATTATCAACAAATTTCAAAAAAGATTTTTAAATCAGAAAAAAGTGTTTTGCAATTTTCCAGGAAAAGATATAAAACCAGTATAAATCCATAACTATTAGCTATTTATTGTGTCAATTAATGTGTTAAAAATTAAAAATTATACCAAATGCATGCAGAATTTATTTTTATTACAGGAAAGATAAAAAAAAAATCTATTTCGTCACGTTTCATAAGAACAATCTTTAGATTACGAGAGTCCGACAGAAGTCTCTGAACGACTCATCTTCCGGAAGAAACGTGTGACACATGGCACGCCGTTAATGTAGGTTAACACACCTCTCGAAGGACGACGTGAGCGCATACTCCGAGTACTGTTAACTTGCGCCGACCGATTCTCATCATCATGCAACGTCGCGGCATTCGATGATTTTTACTTAAGCAATGCCGTGTCGCGCATTCTAACGTGAAGCCAGTATCGAATGACTGTGTATGGTGACATATATATAAAAATGTCACCTACCAAACTATGTTGCATTCTGTAATGAAAATTGTAGCAAACTTAAGCTTCACGTGTAAATTTGTATGTAAAATATAACTTACATGGATTCAGATACAATTCAGAAGTGAAAAAGTTCAAATGACAAATTCTGTACAAAGGAATTAAGCAGAAATACAAAAAAATTACAAAGAGTTGTATATAAAATGATTTTTCTCAACGAAGTATTCTTGAATTATATCATGATAAAGCCATACTGTAATAAATTAAAAAATATGTTAAAGAAAAAAAATTTGATTCACTCCAATTACAGTTTAGGTTGTTCCTTGTCAAATATATCTCAAAAAAATATGATTGATATAGAAAATAATCATAAATTTCTAAAATATACAATAGGACTGATCGAGGTAATTGTGACAGTAGGACGAATGTGAAATCGTAATATTTTCTAACGATAAAATTAACAATTATTATTTTTTTAACAAGTATATGATTATTGTATAAATCAGCAA